TCCCTCCGTTTCTTCTGGACGGACTACCTCGAACACAATGGTTGCGTGTATTTCATTGGCAAGCTGCGTGATCGCGCGTCGGGCGCGTGGATTTCATGCTGCGTCACCGTAGAGGGCATCGAGCGCAACCTTTATGTGCTCAAGCGCGAGAAACGCATCGAGCAAGACAAAGATGGTAACCAGTACGAGACCGACGAGTTATCAACCGAGCAGGACGCGTGGGACGACTTCGAATACATTCGTAGTCAGTTCGAAGTGAAGAAATGGCGTGCGAAGTGGATCAAGCGCAAGTACGCGTTTGACTTGCCAGATGTCCCACGTGGCGAGCATGAATATCTGAAGGTCATTTATGGCTTCGACCGTGAGCACATCTTCACACCTTGGACGTGAACTGTTTTCTCATTCGATATCTCTAGAGCCAGAAATACCAGCACATGCCGAGAGCGGTAACATTGCGCGGATACTAGGCACGCATACAAGTGCATTTGAGCTGCTCGTTCTCAAGCGCAAGATCATGGGTCCGTGCTGGCTGCAAATCAAGAATCCTCGGGTTGAGAATAAAGGGGTGGGTAACTGATCCCCGCTCATTCCGCCGCCTCTGACTTCGTTCTTCCAAGGTGTCGTGGTGTAAGATCGAAGTCACGGTCACAGATCCCAAAGATGTCAATCCCTTCGCGGACTCCGACGACAGTGCGCCAAAGGATACCCCGCCGCTGACAATCTTGAGTCTGAGCGTCCGTACTATTATGAACCACAAGGAAAACGGGCGCGAGGTCGTGTGTGCCACGGCCCGTATTTGGCACAATAGTGCGTCGTTCATCCATGTACTGGCTGACGAGACCCTCACAACGATAGCCAGTGGTCATCGACGACCCAACTCCGCCAGAGAATTTGCCGTGTGCCGTACACACATTTGTGCGACCGCTGGACCGGTTTCCCAACAACTTCGAGGTTAAGGCAAAGGCGAACGGAAGGGGGAACATCCTACCGATGAAGAACGAACGCATGCTGCTGAACAATCTGCTCATCGCGATCTACAAAGCCGATCCTGACGTGATTGTTGGTCATGAATTCGTTGGCACCTCGCTCGACGTGCTCCTGCATCGCATGCGAGACCTTAAAGCCGACCACTGGTCGCGCATTGGACGATTCCGCCGTTCGAAGTGGCCAAGCATCGGTCGTCAGGGCACGAACCTGAAGTTCATGGTTGGGCGCATGATGTGCGATCTTGCGAGTGACGGTGCGAAGGTCTGTGTTTTTCCTTCGTATTGCAACAATGTAACGAGGCTAACATTCCTGCGCCATAGGGTATGATCATGTCTACAACGTGGTCGATGACTGAGATGTGCAAGACATATCTTGGAAGTGACCGCCAGGAAATTGATCCTGACGATACGGCAAATTACTTTGATAGTGCTGTCAGCGGGCCGGAGCGCCTGCTCACGTTTGTACGCCACTGCGAACTCGATGCACATCACCATATGGCTATCGCTGCGAAGGTGCAGATCTTGCCTCTGACGAAACAGTTGACCAACCTCGCGGGCAACTCATGGTATGACATTCAACGATACCCTAAAATGGCGTTGAATCCTCAGAATTAATTTTCTAGGAATAAAACATTGAATGGCGGCCGCGCCGAGCGCAACGAGTATATTCTGCTGCACGAGTTCCACCGGCTCAAATATATCTGCCCGGACAAGTGGGGCAAGAAATACTCTCCGGGCGCGTCGAAGATGGGCAAAGATGACAACGGGGAGAAGCAGAAAGACAAGAAGGACACGTACAAGGGTGGCCTCGTCCTCCCGCCGCAAAAGGGCCTCTGGGACAAAATCACGCTTGTCATGGATTTCAACTCCTTGTATCCCAGTATCATACAGGAGTACAACATCGATTTTACGACAATTGAGAACGTGGAGATCGACGAGGTGGGTTGTCTGCATGTTTTATTGCGACCCTATTGATTGGAAGCGTTGACTGATGTGGTTGATGAGCAGCAAGGGCAAATTGAAAACCCGGAGCCACCCTCGCTGGACGTGCCACAGGGCGTGCTGCCTCGGCTTATTGCGACGTTGGTGAATCGTCGACGACAGGTGAAGTCGCTCATGAAAGATCGATCAACGTCGCACGCAAAGTTGTTACAGGTGACTCTCCTGGTGACAGTTCTTGTTGATATCTCGATGGTCATTCATCTTTTACCAGTACGACATCAAGCAGCTGGCCTTGAAACTGACGGCGAACAGTATGTATGGCTGCCTAGGCTTCGAGCATTCGCGTTTCTATGCGAAGTCCCTTGCGGCGTTGACGACCCACATGGGACGACAAATCTTGATGAATACTGCCGAGCTGGCGAAGTCCATGGACCTCGATGTGTGTCGAGTTGTTTTCTACACATATGATTAGACCTTGGATACTAATACCAGTGCAGGTATTGTACGGCGACACCGACTCTGTGTTCGTCAACTCAAATGTAACAGAACTTTCAGAAGCACTCAAGATATCAGCGATGTTCAAGAAAGCAGTGAACGACCGCTATCGGCTACTCGAAATAGACCTTGATGGCGTGTTCAAGCGGCTATTGCTTTTGCAGAAAAAGAAGTACGCTGCGCTGAAGATTGAAGACGGTATGCGCACGTCGACGGAAGTCAAAGGTCTCGACATGAAGCGTCGCGAGTACTGCGCATTGTCAAAGAAGGTATCACAGTGAGTATTGTAGCTACTACTCTCCCACCTAGTCTTTTTTTTCTTTTCCTTGCTTTCCTTTTGATGCCGAACATACTGCATATAGATACGTCCTTGATCAGATCCTCTCCGGCGAGGAGCGTGAAGTCGTGCTCGACAATATTCACGAGTATCTGCGCACAACCAGCACGGAAGTACGCGCTGGTGAGGTGGCGCTGGATCAGTTTATCATATACAAGGTGTGTAGCCCTTCTCCTTTCCTTTCCCACTCCCTGGCATTTCCCTTGAACTTCTAGTATCTTGTGCTTATTTCTTTCAGCGCCTCGGAAAAAATCCTGAAGACTACCCGGACGCAAAATCACAGCCACATGTGCAGGTCGCGCTGGGCATGAAGGCTAAAGGGCGCACAGCACGCGCAGGCGATGTCATTCCCTACGTGATCTGCCTCGGCGAGAAGGAGGAGACTTCGAAGACGGTACAAGCCGACCGTGCAAAGCACCCGGACGACGTGCGTCGTCAGGGCTCAACGTTGAAAATTGGTGAGTTTGACGGGTTGTTCGTCAGCGGGTCACCCTAGTCAAAGTGTTTCTCCTAACTTATTGTGTTCCGTAGACTATGAACACTACTTATCGCAGCAGATCCTCCCGCCCATCGAGCGATTGTGCGAACCAATGACTTCGCAAGGTGTTCAGGGCGCCGACAGATCGCGCTTGGCTGAGTGTTTAGGTGCGTTCCCTTCCTCATCCTGTCGCTCACCATTCTAATCCGTCATTACCGTCCGCCGTCCACTGTTTCAATCCACTCACCACGTCACCATCGCTCACTATTTTTGTCTCTGCTCACAGGCCTCGACCCTATGCGATACGCCGTCGCCGTGTCGTCCTCTGCCGCAGGCACAAACACAGACGCTGCCTTCACGATGCTTGACTCTCATGTGTCAGACAAAGAACGCTTCAAGGATTGCGCTGCGTTCGACGTACGCTGTCGCGGCTGCAAGGGCTCGTTCGAGGTCGTAGGCATGGGTGAGGAAACGGTGCGTCTTGTTTCTTTTTTCTTTGAACTATGTGCTACGAACTGATGCTTACGCTGTTTCTTGACCATAGACATCATTCACACACGATGGCCTGAAATGTTCGTCCTGCGGCCACGTGCAGAGCGTCGGCAGCCTCGTTATGCAGCTTGAATCGCTGATCCGCGCGCACATCGCGCGATTCTACGCCGGCTGGACGGTGTGCGACGACCCGACGTGCGGTAACCGTACGCGTATGATGCGCGTGTACGGCCGGCGGTGTTTGCGCGAAGGATGCCAGGGCCACGTGGAGTTTGAGGTGCGCTGCTTGTTTGCTTAGTTATTGCTTTGCTTGTTTTGGGTTTCGTTGTCTTGGAGTTTGTAGTTGTTGTTACGATTGTTCCTCCGTTTTCGGGTGGCTGTCTTGTTTTTGTTTGACTGATTAACATCCTTCCATGACTGACACTGACGACAGTACACTGACGTCGCCCTGTACAACCAACTGCGGTACTACGCGTACCTCTTCGACGCTGAAAAGATGGCCAAGGCGGCCAAGAGCGCCGGTGAGCAAGGTGAGCCCTCGTTTCCATCTCCTATTTCCCCTCTCTCAGCTGCTCTTCATTCCCGTGTACTTCTCTCTCTCTCCGTCGCCACATCCCCTGCTTGCTTCCTTCACATCCTCATATCCGGACTCACACCTGTTTCTCATTCTGATGCTTTTTCTCATAACCTGACACTGATTCATCAAAACAGAACGCATCACACAACTCGGGCGTTCGAACGCCGTGCTCCTCAGCGCGCTCGCGGACTGTGCCGGTGCGCACCTCGACCGTTGTGCGCGCCGGTGGGTCGATATGCGCGACTTGTTTTCATTTATGAAGATTTGAACGGGCGAGGTTTGTATCCTTAGCCAATGAATTAATGAAGTGTAGGGGAGAAATATCATGGTGATGGGGGTGAAGACGATTGATACCGTCGTGCATACGTATAGACATTTGTATTTCATTCAAGCATTCTTTTCTCTTATGTATTTCATAGAAGCAGAGCGCCCATATGTTTTTCAAGCAATTTATATATACGTAAACTGAACATTTTCTTTCACGCGTGGCTTGTGCGAAGGGCATGAGAAAAAGATCTTGAAACATTCGGCTAGAATACTGTATTCCACTCGGAACAAAAAATTCTTCTCCCAAGAAAAAGTGCTTATACTTTCCTTCTCCAGAAGAGAAAATCTTCACAAATCCAAAAAGACGAAGATAAATGCAGAAAGCCAAAGGAAAAAAAAAGAAAAAGAGACTACTCTGGTGTCAATTGTCCCAAGGAGGATTCGAACTTCCGGCTTCTCGGTTGCATTGGATGTAGCACGGCCTACCACAACGAGATGATTTAACCACTAATCGACAGGGACATTACCATTGCGGTAAATTCTTTTTATTGAGGTTAAGTATCCGTGCCAGTGAGACGAACCACACCCACACAACAACAGGGACAGGGAGATCGCGTACGAGAAAGGACATACAAATAAAAATGACTGTGGACTAACCTAACGGACTCGGAAGCGCAACGAAGAACCAGCGTGAGCCGGAATATAATGGCAACTTAGATTTTCGAACACGGGTGACAAATTAAAATCGTCACTGGTGTATGGCCAAGGGGACGTTGTGGGGATCGAGCAAAACAGAACTAACAGAAACTGAACGGAAAGTCTGAGCGGAATACTACATCCCCGGCTAAACATGCAAATCGTGTTGGTGGCGACCGGTGAGAGGGCGCACATGATGACGACAGAGACCAGAGAGAGATTCATGATCACGAATTCGAAAGCGTTGGCCGCTTGGGCAGATGACGGTTGGTAAACTCAGGGACCCTTCATACATAGAGATTTCACTTTCCAACACTGGATACGAAGGACCATAGCCAAAAAAAGGAAGACTGACGTCCACTGAGTCGACGAGAAAGACGGATATACATACTAGATGACATGGTTCAGTCGTTTCCGACTGAAGCTCATTTCTTCACAGTGTGACGGAACGACATAACGTCGGATAGATAGATGCATATGGATGGAAGGATGAAGGATCTGGAACAAACAGATGGATGAACGAACTCTCATACAGACAAAGAAATAGACGCGGACGAACACAATGATACGTACCAGCAAGTCAAATAAACAAGGCGTGCGGTATTAGACGACGGACGACAGAATATGGAGGAAGGGTGCGACTCGGAGCTCGGTGAGTGGAGGAACGAGTCGGGAAAACGTATATACGAACCGAAGACAGATGGAAAGAGTCGACGGGGCTCTGGGTCGACACTTGGGAAGTGGACTGCAGCGGGGTGTGTATGGGAGGAGCAGGGAGCGATATAAGACTGAAAACACGCCAACCAACTCCGAGGAAGATGCAACATGTGGGATCGAGGCTGAATGGACGGAACGAAGAAATATAATGGACGCAGGGACGAACGAGAAGAAAAATGCGAACGAGAACAAGGAAACCGATGAATGGACACACACATGCCAAAGAAAACGGATTGAGGGAACGAACGGAAACATACGAAACGGAAGCAAGACAACCCAAAACCTCATATGTACCCCCAACTCTGTGTAAATCAGAAGGAAGACGAAAGAGAGTGGCCCCCTCAGCCTTTTCGAAATTATTCTACTACGATAATTTCTTGTTTCCCATGTGACTCCGCACGGTCCCCGTGAAGGAGACCTCTTGGATGTCCCTATGAGTCGGCTCATCATCAGGGGAGATGTGTAGTGGGGGAGTGTGTGAAGGCAGGAGGGGAACAATGAAGACGGTGGACGTAAAAGGGCAAAGGCCGCATTGTACAAAAGCAGACGAAAAGACGCACCATACAGGGATGAACACCGCCGTCGAGTTTTTGGTTAGGCAGGTAAATGGCACAAAAGACGTTTATACATGGCGCATTTGCAAAATTTCGTTGGCGCAAAATGGACGATTGCAAACAGCATAGCATGAGATGTATGGCTATACACAATTACATATGAATGCAGGTGGAAGAAATGCGTATAAGTATATAGAGGCGTGGATGAGAGAAGAGGACGCTTAGTCGAATAAGCCGAAGCCCTGTTGAGAAATGTCTAGCAAGGGAAAATGTGAGATGGGAAGGAGGACACGCACCATATCGTCGTCGCTCTCCTCCTCTTTCTCCTCTTTTTCCTCCTCCTTCGGTGCCTCTTCTGCAGCAGCGGCACCACCGGCAGCGGCAGAAGGACCTGCACCGGCAGCAGGGGCGCCACCACCAGCGCCAACGTTGAGGAGGAGCTCCTTGACGTCCTTTCCTTCGAGGGCCTTTGCAAGGAGAGTGGCCCAGATGGGCTCGATATCGACGGAGGCAGCTGATGTCAGGGTCAGGATTTTTTCCGACTGTGTTTGGTGTGTTTAGAGTATAAGTAAGCAGAGAAGAGAAGGCAACGCACGGTGATTTCGATGCCGTCATCGGCGAGGATGAGAGCAGCATACGTCGCTGCGAGTTCTGTAGAGGCCTGTACGTGTACATCAGATGACGCGTGACACCATCCATCCTCGCATCCAGCGATCCAGCCTTTCGCGTGACGGCAGCGACGAGACACTCACCATTTGGAATCGGGTAGACGAGTGTGGGCGACGAGGGCGACGGGCGGGCGGTGTCGATGTCGATTCTTGGCCAGCCCGGTTTCTTTCGTTGTTGTCTTTCTCACTCCCACCTGTCGATCGATGGTGTTCCGATCGCGGCCATCAATATCGCACTGTGGGAGCGTTGTCTTTCGCTTCGCTTCGAGTCTACCACACCCTACACTCTGGCTCTGCCCGCTCGAACGGTCTTTATGAATGCATACGCAGTCTCTCGTTGTCCTGCACCTGCTATCCGAAGCATGTATGTCTCGATTCACTGACTCCTCCTGATACTATCTCTCCCATGCCCCTCCCCTCGTACCTGTTGTGCATCAAGTAATTTCCTTCTAATTCAGATGACTTGAGAGACCCACTTGTTTGTTACTACCATCATTACTCGCTTTCATACTTAGTAAAGAGAATATAGTGTTTATGTAAAGATGTGAAATAGAGAGCGGTCGAGGCTTACACAAGCAGTGCGAGAGGACAATTGGGGGGCCTGACCGCCGATGCTATATTCAAGGTACTGTTCGTAGCACAACCCGGGGAAAATGGAGGCAGTTACAACTACATATCTGTTTCCGAAAATCAATATAAGCACGCAAGCTGTTGTTGTTGTTGCCCTGCTCTTGAATCGCCGTGCACCGTTGATCGCCGTGCTCAACAACCGACGTCACAGTTTCCATTCATTTATGGTGCGCACTCCGAACAGTTCAAGCTCCCCTTTCATCCAATGCCCGGGCGCGTCGACCTGGTAATCATCTTTCGCGCGTCGCCGAGCCTCAGGGCAGCGACCAAGGACGATGCGCGAAAAGCCGACGCCCAGTACACTGCACTGCTCGATACTTTGACCCACGCGGGGCTGCACGCAGTTGCACGACGAGGCGACACCCTTGGCCAGCTTCTCGTGTTCGTCACCTGTCCCCCGTCCCTTCTAGACGCGCTTGTTCGTCGCGAGAGGCAGCAAGATTTCCTTGCCGGTCTGCCCACCAGTCCAGCTACAGCGTTCGCAGACGCACGCGGTCTGCCAGCATCAGACCGCATACGCCTCGTACACACATACGTCACCTCTCTCCCGGCAGACGGTGGTCTTGGTGTCTGCCCAGGCGCCTCGGAATGGGATCTCATCGAGTCCATGGCCGCTCTCCATGACCGCGACTACAACCACGCCTGGATCCACACATGGACACACCACCATGTCGGTGCCACACAAATCGACAACACTCGCGAACAGGTGGGCGGTCTCCTTTCAATCAAATGACCCTTCTCCTTTTATCTGACGTGACTTCATTTCGATGCCAAGTTTGGCGACGCCGTCGCTCTGTATTTTGCCTTTCTGCATTCATATACCCGTGCACTCATCTTCCCAACTGTCCTCGGGCTTTTCTTCTACTTCTTCGGCGATCCCTACTCCCCTGTCTACTCCCTCCTCCTTCTCATATGGTCAATCGTCTATACAGAATGGTGGTCCATCAAAGAAAGACTCTTCGCACTTCGTTTTGGTACACGCGGCGTCGCCCGTGTAGAGAAACAAAGGCCCCAGTATAAAGCGAGCGTCTCCTGGTGGCAGCGCGACTTCCGCATGGCTGCTAGTCTGCCTGTGATCCTCTTGTATGCTGTCTTACTCGTCGGCATCCTCACCCTAAACTTCGTCCTTGAGGCCTTCCTTGTACATCTCTATGAAGGTCCTGGCAATCAGATTATCGTGAGTACGCGTGCACATTACGGAGTTGTCTAACAAATTTTTCAGGCCATGCTCCCAACCATAACGTTCTCTGTGCTCATCCCGCAATTCCTTTCATTTTACCAAACAACCGCTCGTCGCTTCACCACGTGGGAAGACCACGCTCGACCGTCCCAGTACGAAGCCTCGCTCACGTATAAGACGTTCTCCCTCAGCGCACTCGTCGCATATCTCGGTCTCGCGCTCAGTGCATTCGTGTATGTGCCCCTCGGGGAACAGGTGATGCAGCTGGTCCAGCGAACCTTCGCTTTCCATTGGCTCGGTGCGTCTCCAGCCTCTGCAAATGGAACATCAAAGTGGAACCTAGACGCTGCAAGCGCAAAAACCAAGCTGAATGGGAGCCGCTTGCGCCAACAAATGTTTGCGTTTACAGTTACCGGCCAGGTCGTCAACACGTTCACGGAGATCGGTCTCCCGTTCATCCTCCGCCACTTCAACACCATGGTGAGCAAGCGGAAAGCACCAAAGCCGATAGCAAACGCTCCTCGCGAGCTCCCATCGTCGCCAATCTCGTCCGTCGCGTCGGATGCCTCAACTGCAACAGCAACATCTTCACGGCGTAAGCGTGTTGTTTTCGAAGATGAGCAGGCGCGTGGCGGGGTGCGGGAGCGCGAATTCCTAGAGCACGTCCGCGCGGAACTTGCGCTCCCCGAATACGACACATTTGAAGACTACAACGAGATGGTGACGCAGTACGGCTATGTCGTCCTCTGGTCCGCAATATGGCCGCTCGCGCCTTGTGAGTCTCCTGTTACTCTCTTTGGGATCTGTGTCCGCTGACTGCCGGCAGTAATGGCGCTGGTAAACAACTTTTTCGAGATGCGGTCTGATGCGTACAAAATTACAGTTCACCATCGCCGACCGATTCCCGTGCGCACAGACACGATCGGGCCGTGGCGCGAAACGATGGATGTATTGGCGTGGCTGGGAGCCATGACCAACGCAGCGCTTGTGTATCTTTTCCACGGTGGTGGGCACGCGAATATCTCCACGGGCGGTTTGTGGTGCACGCTCACTGGCGGGGGCGAAGGCTGGTCCGTA